ATGTGTAATGTTCCATAAGTCACATGCTCAACGGGAAGTTGCGTTATCCAAATTTCCAGAAGATCCTGTGAAGAAGAAATGTTCTTTCATAAATATTTTCTAGTAATATTGACTGATCATGCAGTTAGCATGGGTTCAAGTTGTTTATGTTCATGTAGTGTACTTGAGAAGTCTATGCTTAAAAAAAAAAAAAAAAACTCAACCTTGTTACTCATTTAAGCATAAAATGCAGCCTCGTTTAATTGGCTGAGATTGGTTAACGGCATTTTTTGAACGGTTCATCGAATTCAATGTAAAAAAAAAAAAAAAGATTTTTAAAAAGTTGAAATTTGAATAAGGGCTAAACAGCGCCTCAATCACCTTGAATCACCCGTTTCATATTTAAGTCTAAATGAACGTGAATAAAGCACGTGTGCGAGAAAATGTAAGACGCAGCACTGTTAAGACGTGCGGTGACAAAAAGCACAGGTTTAAAGAAACCTTCGAATCAAACGAGAGGTATTTATGCGGTGTATTTTTTTTCTGTCAGTCATTTCCACAGCGTGTGTGCTACGTTGTGAACTGAGCGCGCTCGGTGCGCTCGGCTGCCCTGACGAACAGCCTCTCTATTTTCAGCCGAGGTATGGCAGGATTTACCTGAATGACAAATAAGGCAATGGGAATGAGAAGGCATACTTCTGTGTCTGCAGACCGCCTACGCATGCGTACGGGGTCTCCACCGGAGAAATGTGTGTGTGCGCTCGAACATGCGCATGTCTGTGCGAGTCCGCTGCCGCACGAGCGAGCAAAAGGAGGATGTGTGTCATTGGGAATACGGCATAGTTTTGATGTGTGAGATCGGAGTTTTCCGGCGAGACCGACCCGGACACACACGAACAAACAAAGATGCTAGTTGTTCTCTGTGACATGTTTGTTTGTGAAGAAGACAGCTCTGCTTCGCTGCTTGGGAAAAGCTGTTATCAATGAGTCATTTAGCTGAATCAATGAGGAATTAGTAGAAGCAGGAGAAAAGACGGCTGAAGCAGATGATGCCAGACCGCCAAGAAGCTACACTGCACGATATTAGTGGTTAGCACGCTTGCCTCGCAACTCCGGGGTTGGGGGTTCGAATTCATGTTTTACCCATGCCTTGAGGAGTTCCTCCGGGTACTCCGGTTTCCTCCAGCAGTCCAAAGACATGCCTTGTAGACTGATTGGTATTTCCAAATTGTCCGTAATGTGTTGGCACCCCATCCAGAGTGTTCCCCGAAAACACTCAACTTCGTTCCCTGAACTCCCTGGGATACGCTCTAGGCTCCAGGCCTCTCTCAAATACCCGTATAAATATACTTCAAACAGGAAGGAAGCTATCGAAGAAATAAATATTGCAGACATTTGACCTTGCAGTGACCTTGTCTGGATCAAATCCAAAATCATACCAAGATAATTCCATATAAACACTCGTGGTTAACTACTCGTTCTTGAGATATCATGCTAACAAGATATCATGCTAACAAAGTCCATGCTATCCCAGATGGACACATGGACAGACAACCATAATAATAATAATAATAATAATAATAATCTTTTCCAAATCCAGTTCTGATATTTTCCGTTCGTTACAGGATTGGATCAAATTCGTTCTTTTTTCCTCTGATGTCTAATCCACAGATTTTCGCTCATATCGGCCTGTGTTATCTCTTCTTAGTTCTCTTTTTTATTTTCTTCTTATTTGTGCAGAAACTACTATAACAGACAGCTGATCAGGCTCCATCTTAACAAAGTCATGATAGACAGCTCCCATTTTTTTTTGTCAGAAAGCGTGATTTTTGGATCAGGCACTGTTCCGTCAAAGATTGCACAGCCGAACATCCACCAAACAACTGATCGCGAGAGATAAAAGTCATATACTCCGAGCAGGACAGCGATTCTGAACTGTAGAAAGCCATAGTGTCTGATTGACATCAGGATGTAGATATGTTTAAGACACGACCAACATAACCCACAGTCCCACAGGGTGCAACTTTCACAAGCCGACTGATATGGCGAAAAGAAATCTTACTTAAAGACGAAATCCAGATTTTCTGAGGTTTATCAAAACCCCCAATACACTTCTACTGCTGGGGTTCCTCTCAGTCTCCAGACCTTCCTGAGTCATCCCATCTGCTTGACACTTTTCTGGATCACTCCAATTAGACTAGACCTGGATAAACGATCTGGCCGGCGGTCACGATCTGGTATTTTCTCATCCAGAATTTTTTTGAACCAATTCTTGGGTTAACTCTGCTACTTGTCTGATATATGGTGCTGTGATTCTAGGCCTGCTCTCGTTATCTGTGTTAAATCAAACCTGGTTTCCAAACATACGAAAACATACTGAGAAAATGAGTCTATCATGGGCACAGGTTCGCCCCAAACTGTCCCACGAAAGCCCACGATAGCCTCAGATTCCTGTTCTTGGCTGACAGAAGTGGAACGCGATACGGTCTTCTGCTGTTGTAACTCATCCGTCTCAACGTTTGACGTGTCCTGTCCTCTGAGATGCTTTTCTGCTCACCACGGTTGTAAAGAGTGCTCATTTGAGCTACTATAGACTCCCTGTCAGCTCAGATCAGTCTTCTCATTCTCCTCTGATCTCTCTCATCAACAAGCCGTTTCACCCTGCTCAGCTCGCAGGATGTTTTTTTGTTTTTCGCACCATTCTGTGTAAACCCTAGACACTGTTGCGTGTGAAAACCAAGGAGATCAGCAGTTTGTGAAATACTCCAACCAGCCCGTCAGGACCTCACAGCCACGCCAAGATTAAAGATCACATTTTGTTTTCCTCATTCTGATGTTTGACGTATCTGCATGATTTTATCCTTGGTGCTGCTGCCACATGATTGGCTGATTGGATAACTGCATATACGTGTGAGGGTACAGGTGTTCCTATTAAAGTGACCAGTGAGTCTTCGAGTTAATCCTAACATTGTCTAATATCAACTTTAATAACTTACAGGTTAACAAGTCTGCCAATGTGATGAAATGTATGCTGCCTTCAAAGACTATCTTCAGGTTGGGGCAGTGGTGGCTTAGCGGTTAAGGATCTGGGTTACTGATCGAGGGTTCAAGCACCAGTACTACCAAGCTGCCACTGTTGGGCCCTTGAGCAAGGCCCTTAACCCTCTCTGCTCCAGGGGCGCTGTATCATGGCTGACGCTGCACTCTGACCCCAGCTTCCTGACAGGCTGGGGTATGTGAAGAAAACAATTTCACTGAGCTCTACTGTATATGTGACCAATAAAGACTCATTATCTCAAACTGATTTTTGTTTCTTGTTGTGTTTTTTTCTTACAGGGTATATTAAAGCGCTGCCTTATAAGACAACATAGGTATCACGCCATCAAGAACCAGTGGTGAGACTGTGAATAAATAAAGGCGTCCTGACTGATTAGCGATGGGAATAGAGTGTAATATAAAACTGAAGTGTGTCGGACAATGTATGGCTATATCTATACAGGTGTACGTATCTGTTAATACGTGTGACTACGTGTAAATTGGATATGACACAACTTTATTGTCGTCGTTCTCCCCACACACACAGCACATACACAAACGACAAAGAATTATATCACCGTCTCCATCAGAAGTGTCACGTATAAATGACCTGGAGTGAGATCTGCGGCAGATTCCCAGCACGCTGCTCCGGGGCTGGCGAAATGTCACTCTGACAACCTGACATCAGCTTGAAACCCAGGGACCCTGACGAACGCAGCCTGAATGGGGAAAAGGTGGATTTCTCTTCCCATCTGTTTCCCTCTCTATATTTAATTTATCGTCCCATTATAAATGAAACAGACATATCTAATATTTACCAGCAGTCCACACGGGAACGCTCAAACATGTCTGGAAGGGAAGGGGGGAGGGATCAGCACAAATGCCAACCTGAACCAACACACACACACACACATTATACTGAATTGCGTTTAAAAGGAAAGTTGGGAATGGAGAAAGGACACAACTTTGTCCTCCTGGACAGATTATAAATTGATATCACAGAGGACAGTGAAAAGGGGGAATGGCAGACAACGCTATGAGAAATACACGATGGATAAAAGCATCCAGAGTCATTTCATGAACTCACAGTAAAGCAAAGTTTGCACATTATATCCCTTCGGTTTTTTTCATATTTTATCTTTCTTAATGATTAGTGGGCCTCGTTGATCAAACTGGATACGAGCAAATTTGATTTGGAAATCGTTTGCAGGAGTGTTTATAGAAGAAATGTCTTACTCGTTAAAATCCAGTTCAGAAGAAAACATCTCATCCTACGAGCGCTCCTAAGTTTGTATATAAGTCTGACTTTATGAAAGGAAGCGATCCAAAACACATCCCTAGCCGTTCAATTCCGGCGAAAGGTATGTGCTGCGTCCCAATTCGCCTACTATCCGTCCTAAATGGTATCTTCGGTTAGAATTAGTGCGTCCCAAATCGTCGTATGTTGAAATGAGTGTCCCGAAGGTACCCGGGTGGTCTACTATTTCCGGTACATTTTCAAAGTGTGGAGCCGTGGCCAGTTTTTTCAGCTAATATTGTCCATTACACCTTGCGTGAGGGAGGAGGAGTTTTGTGACCGTTTTTTAGAGCTACATTTTAGAGAGCTGTGAACGAAATGTGGAAAAAAGATAAATCAACGGAATGGTAAATTCAATTATATAGCATATAAATGATATAAGGAATAATGAAAAGCTGAAATGCAACGAGGAGTTTGATTACGGTGACGGAGTGCGTAACTAAGCAACAACGTTGGCTTCTTTGGAACCTGGAACCTATCCCAGGGAGCAAGGGGCACAAGGCGGGGTACACTCGGGACAGGGTGCCAATTCATCGCAGGGCACACTCACACACCCATTCATACACTACGGACACTTTAGACACACCAGTCAGCCTACCGTGCAAGTCATTTGGACTGGGGGAGGAAACCGGAGTACCCGGAGGAAACCCCCGCACCATGGCGAGAACATGCAAACTCCGTACACACAGGGCAAAGGTGGGAATCGAACCCTCAACCGTGGAGTTGCGAGGCAAACATGCTGCCCCCTAAGCCACTTTGTCCCTCGGAGTAGAAAGTATTCTTTCTAAGTTTTCTTGGAAATGTAATTAAGAGTACAAGTATTCACTTCCAATAATGCTCAAGTAATGTATAAATATGCCAAAATAATAGAAGTATAGTATAGTAATGAAGTAAATGGTATGAAAGAGGTATAAAGGGCTATGCGATAAGAATTTTGTGATCATAAAGCCTACAGAGTTTCAGTGCCAGACTAAATAATCAAACACTGCACACCTAATATGTCTTGACTCACAACATTTTATTTCCATTAGATTTTTTGCCTGAACCATTACTTCAACAACAGTGCTGTGTGACGCCATACTCCCTCCATCCAGCTCATGAGAGTTCCCAACTGCAGCATCTGTGTGGAAACACACATCAATTTGCTCCACAGTGTAGTGTGCCTGACGTGTGTCCTGCTCTCTCTCTCTCTCTCTCTCTCTCTCTGTCCCTCTCTTTCCTTTCCACATAAGTGTGCCTAGGTCATCTATGCTGCATTATTTCTATCTCTCCACTGCCCTATCCATCCATCATATACTCCCTTTCAATCCATCCCTCCATCACCTCCCTATCTCTGTTCCATTAAATAAATTGAGTTGTAATAATCTTCTCTGATGTGCATCCCTGATATTGGTGGATGGACACAGCAGCCTTTTTTTTTCTTCTTTTTTTTTTTTTATTACCCCACTTTCAGCCCATCCTGGACGCTACATAATCCTGTGCACTCCCTTCAGAAGATTACAATATAAAAAAGAAGCAGTGGAAAAGAGAGAATGAATTGTGCTACAAGAGTGCTTCAGGGCTGCATATATACATACATACATATATATATATATATATAATTTACTAATATGCAGTGCATATACAGTCGATTTCCATATAATGATATTTGCTCAACCGTTTATATCTGTTTATGACGTTATTATGATGCATCATTAACAATAATTCCTACATTACACTACTACAAAAATGTTCCTCATATTAATTCTTATATTCTTTATAGAGAATTGTCTTCTCTAGGAACACATACACTCTGTTATAGGGTTCAATGCAGAACCATTAAGTGTTTCTCATTCACAGTATGGGACACTCCTTCATAACTATTCAAAATATGGATGTAACAGCTAATCGATAAAATCGATTATAACAGAATTTCATTAAGGATTAGTCGGGTCTGTGACGTCACCATGGATAAACAACCCCCAATCCCCCCGCCCCCCGGTGATGTCACTTTGGTGAAGAATTCATTGTTTGTTTGTTTTTTGTTTCTTTGTATTTTTGTCTAGAGGTTTGTTTGTTTGTTTGTTTATTTCTTTGCCTTATGAACCCAAATGGTCACGTTCAACAAGAAGGGGCCATTTTATTTGTCTCTAAATGGAAAATCGTTCTAAAAGGGTTCACTCAACATAATAAATCGCATAATAAGAATCTTATTTCCTAAAAGTTTCTATGGCGAAAACAGTGCATTCGTTTTACAGAATAATTCCTATTAATGTTAAATGACACCAGTCATCTATAGTATGCAAATATAAGCTACATAAACCGAGGCGTTTCTGCTCTTCTTTGTGTGCGCATCTCATTTTCCAGACACTTCAGCCATCGGCATGAGAGCAGGTCCGGCAGACCCAAACAAATCGATAGAGTAATGCAGACAACAATCAACTGTAAACTGAGGATCAGAAGCTGCCATTTGATCTACAATCAAGTATGTATGTGTGTGTATGTGTGTGTGTGTGTGTGTGTGTGTGTGTAGACAGTACCTCAGTATCAAAATACTACAAGAGCCGAGAGCTATCTGAGAGAGACGTATAGTAAGCCACTCATTAAAGACATATATGAAGAAAATCACATAAAGAGATCAATGTCCTTTATGTTACTACAGGCCGTGGACAAGCACATCTTCCTGAACGTGTTTGTCTTCTCTCTAACACAATGTGAGTCTGCACATGAAGGACTTGATGATGATCTGTTGATTATAATTACAGGGGGTTTGATTGAGAACGCAGGATCCTGTGCAGTGCACAAGTTGAGGGTAACTCATACAGAAGATCAGTATGAAGCTATCAGATCAAAATGTACACTATTTATTTATTTTATATATAGTGCCGCCATATGCCAACATCCCCTCTCTCACATTCCGAGTGATTACCACAGTGCACGGTGAGGTAAAAGAAAACAATAAAAATAAACAAACTAATTCTTCCAATCGCGAAATGCTGCATTCATACTAGCCAGCGACAAAATGTACTCGTCTGGCATCCATTTCAGTGACAGCGGCAAGCGACAGCGTGACGTGTGAGTTGAGATTTTCTCAACTGTACTGTATACAAATTAGCTACGGTATGTTGGAGTAAAGCGACAAGTCCAAATGATTGGCTTGAACGATTTTTCAGACCAATTGTGTGGTCCTTGCGATACATTATTTATTTGTTTTGGCTACTTCCTTTTCTTATTAGAACTAAACAAACTATTAATGTATAGTGCACATGCACAAGCAACAAACTACCAGCACCTAAAGCTAGCTAGCTATACCACCAACTACATGGAGATGTAGCTTAGCTACACTGAAGCTTAATCCATGTTTGATGTCACGTCTTCTGCTAAGTACTGTACAAGTTGATGGTCAAAAGTTTGCATACGCCTTGCAGAATCTGCAAAATGTTAATTACCAAGAAATAAATAATAAGAATTCCATTTTGTTTTGTTTTTTTACAGTATTTAGTGCTGCCCTGAAGAAGCTATTTCACATAACAGACGTTTACATTCAGTCCAGAAAACACAATAATAACTGAATTTACACAAATGAACCAGTTCAAAAGTTTACGCACTCTTGATTATTAATACCGTGTGCCGTTACCTGGATGATCAACGACTGTTTTTATGTTTTGTGAGAGTTCTTCATGAGTCCCTTGTTTGTCCTCAGCAGTTAAACTGCCCCACCGTTCTTCAAAAAATCCTCCAGGTCCTGCACATTCTTTGCTTTTCCAGCATCTTCTGCAAATTTGACCCCTTTCCATCAGCGGCTATTTGACGCTGAGATCCGTCTTTTCACACTGAGGATGACTGAGGGACCCGTACACGACTATTACAGAAGGTGCAAACGTTCACTGATGATCAAGAAGGCAACACAATACGTTAAGAGGCAGGGGGGTGTAAACTTTTAAACAGGATGATCGGTGTAATTTATTGTTATTTTGTTTAAAGATCTTATCCTGACCTTCAGAAGATACGTAGGAAATTGACATGTTTCCCAGAAGACAAAATAATAACAACTTACACTGATCATATTGTTCAAATGTTTACACCCCCCTGGATCTTAATGTATCGTGTTGCCTTCTTCACTTGTTCAGTTTACATCGTGACGATCAAATGCAGCATTAATCAGTAAGAATATCTACTGGACTAGTTTTTCTATATTAACAGAAGGAACGTTACCAAGAGGGCCAGGAGCATCAGGAGCATCATGTTCTACTCTTTCTACTTTTAGTTCCAGATAAAATACTCAAATGCCCAACACTTTTAAGGGAATCGTCCTACTTTTTTTTTTTAATTACGTATTATTATTATTTTTTTAATCCTTGTATGTCTGAGGCTAAAATGTTCGTAGTTTCCTTGTATGATACAAAATTCTACACTATAAAGAATTCACAGCTTTATATAAAGTACTCATCTCTACGCAGCACATCGTAATACCCCAAACAGATATCCAGAAAACATCTTTGTGGATCGAATACATCAGTGTTCTCTCTCCTTCTCACTCTTTGTCCCGTGGAAGACATTTTTTATTTATTTATTTATTTATTTTAAACCAAACTAATACTGCATTCTGTATTCAAAATCTGTTCTACTTTGCATTAATGTATTCAGCTGGAGCTGAGAAAAAAAAAAAAAAAAAAAAACAGGGCAGAAAAATAAACCTGCGAAGAAACGACTTTTCTTTCCTTTCTGCTCCCTTGCTTCTGTTTCTTTTCTTTGTTTTAATGCAGAGCTAAGTATCTTTTGGGAGCGGTCTGGTTATGTGAGATGAATAAAAGTCTGGTATAAAAAGAGAGCAGTTTCTGAGAGAGAGAGAGAGAGAGAGAGAGAGAGAATGAAACGAGTAAAGAAGATTTACTTCAGCCAGTAACATCAGACATGATTGGCAGACAAAGAAGGCCAGGCGAACCATCTCTATGATCAGACTTTATGATGTCTTGAGAGAGAAAAAAAAAACGAATGCTGAATAATGCTTTTACTGAAAGCTCGAATGTCAAACCCACGTTTGAGGAATTAATTGGACTGCAGGAAGTGCACCAGTGGTAATACATGCTGTACGCGAGACACAAAACTAGTATATAATTATCTAATCATTTATTCCGTGACAGATCTATGTTTTCCTTGCTCAGGTGATTTTTGTGTTTTTTTGTGTGTTTTTTTGGTTCTCGGTTCCTTTAATGACATGCAGTGCGAAATGAGACCAAACCGAGTAGAAACGAACCGAAAATGATGAAAGTTTGCTCTGATTTGGACTCAGCAAAAGGAGTTGTGGTTGTTCAAGCTGTAACACACCCATGTTTAAGGAGGACATGTATCAATAATAAACTGATTCTGTGAATGAAGTGTATTGGTGAAAGGAAAACACCTAAATAGACAGGGCTGGGAATCACTGTTCTGAAGGATGGGTTAACCTAACCGCACATAAATTAGATTTCTTAGAGAGAGAGAGAGAGAGAGAGAGAGAGAGAGAGAGAGAGAGAGAGAGAGAGTTTTCAATAAATACTCTCACAAATGAAGTCACAAGCTACAAGTTTAACCACTCTGAGTGTAAATCAATATCCTATAGAGTAGCTAGGAGCTAGAATTAAATGAATATTATGCTAAGCGAACAGCAGGTTTTTCATGTAACTTTGAGTCAATTGTTTCTCAATTAGCCACGCCCTAGCCGTAAAGAAATATTATGCTCAGTAGACAGAGGATCTAACTAATGTCATATATTTTCTTTTATAGAATCACATCATACCTT